CAGCAAGTACAGCGCGGACCTCCTTCAGCGCGCCGCCGACCAGCTTACCTTGCTCCTTGCGTCTCTTCCCCACACAATTACCATGCAAATGACGCCTTGATTTCCTTCTCTCTGTCTCTCTCTCTGTCTCTCTCTCTCTCTCTCTCTCTCTCTGTGTCTCTCTCTGTCTCTCTCTCTGTCTCTCTCTCTCTCTCTCTCTCTCTCTCTCTCTCTTGTTGGCGGCTATTGTGTTTGCGGCAACGAGTTTCCCCTTATTCCCCGGGAAATAAGAGGCCAAAACGTGTGTTTAGAATTGGGCCGCCGTTTCATACCCACCGCACCCAGTTGTGTCGTTTCGACAAAACGACGCGCCAACGACGACGATACGACGACGGCACGATGCGGACGAAAGGATGGAAGAGATAGAGAGAGGTAGAGGGAGTGAGAGAGACACAGATAGAGAGGAGGGCGACAAGCATCTTGACAATTCAAACAGCGGGCACCAGCAAAGATGCTTCCTTCCGATGGCGAGTCCCTTTCCTACTACTCGTCGTGTCGTCGTGTTGCTCACAGTTCCACTACGGTTTTCCCCCCTCCACTCCCTCCCAGCCCTCACCCACCACCCGTTTGCTGCAATCAGCAGCCACACCCCCCGGGGCGGCTCCTCGCCGTGAACATGCGCCCGCCGAGTGAGGACCAGTGTTACCCGACGAGTTCTCCACCACATCATCAGGCTGTGCCACTGCACACGAGGGGCGGGCGGATAATAAGTAAAGCCTCAAACATGTGCTCTAATTATTATGGTAAATAAAATAAAAGGATTTTAATTTGAGAAACATTTCACGAACGACCCATAGCACCCCTTTACCCCACTCTACACATAATGGTTTCCATGCACATTATGGAAGCAAGATCTTTACTTTAATATAACTTTTTTTCCTAAAAGAAGGGTGTGTAACACCGCTGGAGCTAAGGCGGCCTCCCCGGTGCTCTAGCGAGCGACGTCGTCGCCTCTCTCTTTGTTAAAGCCGCGCGCCGCCTTGGCGCAGTGACATTCAGAGAATGCAGGCGTACTGTAGGCCGAGAGGCGCGGCGTGGCGTGGCGTGCCTTAGCGAGGTGTGGCGTGGCGGCTAGCGGTCATGACATGGTTATGGCGCTACCCCAGCAGCAGCGCGGCTCGGCCCAGCACAATGAAGATTAACATTTCGCACTGCAGGGGGTGAAGTGAAGGAAGCAGCAGCAGCAGCAACTGAGAAATACTGCTTGCTTCATTCTAGCAGCAACAAAACAAAAACACGAAAAACAAAATCATCTGCTCTGCTGCTCGCGCGTCTTCCGAAAATGAGACACAATCCGTTGGCCTCGCCTGAGAAATAAAGAGGAAGGAAAAGGCGAGAAAAAAAGGAAGTGCCGACCGATCGATGCGTGTCTAATTACTGCCCTCGGGGACTGAATTAATGAAGCTCAACGACTTTGAGTAGAAGGAAAACATTTCGGAGATTACTTCTTCTTAATTCAATTAGCAGTCTGGACGGTGCGGGCCACACGCACGGGACTTTATGGCGCGGCTCTCAATACTCACTCTAACTGGGCTCTGTATGACAGCAGCAGCGAAGCAGCACATGAAACAAAAAAAAAATGATAGCGTTAGCACATGTCCATACAAAAAAACACAAAGAAATAAGCGGCACTGAATGATTGCAAAGTGGCGTTCATTGTATGACTTCGGCGTCAATTATGGTATTTGGAGAGATACAAGGATACATACTCTAGGACGTAATTCTCTAAGCATCATAGTGTGCTCTTTACTAGCAAATTACAATGTATTAACCCTCCATGTGAAAGTGACGGAGACGATCATCTCTGCCCCGTTTGCAGAGGTTTCTTTTCGCCACACAACGGTCCGGACAGGAGCAGAAGAAAGTTGTCTCCGCGTCCAGTCCAGCAGAGACCCGGCGGCGGCCGCTATCTCTCAAGCCAACAGATGGTGCGTTCTGTTTGCACTTGTGCTCACATCAGCTGTGCACTCTCCCGCCGAGCGGTTCGCGGGAGGGCGGATAACGGAGCGGCGGGGGGCGGGGGAGAGAGAGGGGAGTGGGAAGTGACGTCACGTGGCGTCAATTAGAGAAGGCAGGAGCAGCGGGCCAATCACCGAGTATTGGCTCTCCGGATGGTGGGTCTGGAAGCGCCCGGCTGCCCCGCGTGCCCGAGAGTGCTGAGCCAGTAGGGCGGAGCGGGCTCCGGAGCGGGAGAGGAGGTGTCTGGCTCTCCAGACCGCCCCCCACAAGCCAATCACGCCTCAGAATGTTTGTGGCGCTGAGTGAGGTAAAGATTGGGATGGGAGGGTTCTAGTCATCCACATCATATGATGAAGTTTCGTAAACGCAGTAAAAAAAGGATAGATTTTGAGACACACATAGTAAAGTAGGCAGGGTTTGGAAAGCTGATTATTGCGAAGATGCTTCATGCATTAAAACAAGGTAATTGATTTCAGTGTTGACGTCAACATGGTTTGTTATTGCAAGCAGACTCTTGAGGCTTTGTACATAAACGACCAGGCGATAACGTTGGCCGCGACTCCGCAAAGTAAAAAATGATGATGAGGGTGACTCCCCCTCTTTTCCCCAACCTCGCTCCCTCCGCCGCGTTTGGTTTATTTCCCATCGGTCGGGACCTTTTCAAAATGACTCACAATTAGCTCCCACCACCGCGCTGTGCTTGGCTCGGCAGACGAGGCGGAAGTGGCGTGGCGTGGCAGGGCGGGCGGCGGCAGGCCTGAGCGAGAGCAGTGAAGGTATGGCCCTTTCGGGAACTCAGCATACCAAATTCAATTCCCCTCTTTCTCGTCCCCCCTCACCCCCACCGCCTCCTTACCATCGCTGCCCTCTTTCTCCCCCCACCCGCGTCGGTTCTTTTCTCGCGTCCAGACTGCGCGCCGCCGCCGTCAGAAACTTTGTGGGCTCCCGTCCCCCGCTCTCTCTTTCTCTCTCCCGCTCCCGCTCTACGGCCGCCGGCATTGCGAATGCTGTCCCGATTGCCAGCAGCCCCCCGGCCGATGCGAGTCGTGAGGATGGCCCTGGTCCATCATACCACTAGCCCCACCCCCCCACACACAATCCTCCCTTCATGGCCTTGAGCGGTCAGGGTCAGCTGGGAGAGTAC